CTATCTACTCAAATACCAATAAGTAGCAACGTATTCCTATGCAAATCTTCTGCACATTTGAAGAAATGAGGCTGTATATTCTCAGTTTTCCTGATTAGGCACCCACGCATTTAGCTTAAAATACATCAATTGTGCTAAAAATAATAGGACACATTTTCCCTCTAAATAATGTGACTATTAATGATTGTAATATTAACCATCTGAACGAGGTTTTCACTTCAAATATTATATGCAGATGACGAAAGAGTCCTAAATACATTAGATTATGACTGGTAGTTTGTGGGCATCTAAGAAGTTTTTCTGTGATTTCTAGTAAATATCCGATTGCCGAGTCAGCTTTAGTTGTTTGTTACGAGGTGTGCGATAGAATTGCTTCCACGTGATTCGCCCTGGGCAACGTTTACTCATACGCAAAAAAGTCGATAAACCGGCAGTTGACTTCTCACTTCCGTTTACGTGGACTATCTCCAAGTGGGACAGTGTGTTGCGGATTGCTTCGTTAATAAGCCTTTATTATACTCAGAAAGCTCTATGGCAGATTCTCCTATGTTTGGAAAGACTCCTAGAACTAGCTGAGCTACTGCAATGCTATAACGAGGAAATAGAAGGATGACATGAACACGTTTATTGGGTGTGGTGAGGTGGCGTGCTAGCGTAATGATGATCGCCTTTTGACTTAGACCATTGATTGATCGAGAAGGTGCATCTCTAATAGCAGAACATTTGTGCCATTAGATAGCCACTCTTTAACAATGAATATTTTACTAGTAGCAACTATTGCAATTAAAATTTAAATAATAATATCCATATTGTGGGACTAATTAAAAATTTCAAAACGCTTTCTGAGATTCAAACCAGGCAAAAAAATGTTGTCAAAAAAGCTAATCAACACAAACACTTGGTTAAATAGGTTTGAATTTAGTAAATTTAATTTATTGAAATTGAATTTTGTAAAAAAATATATATAGAATTGCATCTCATAAAATATCTCATTACCAAATATTTATTTATTTATATCAAATGGCAGGCTTCACAAAGGAGAAGGAGCATCAAAGTGAAAAAAAGTCGAGAGAGGAGAGGGGAATCAGAAGATGGTTTCAAAGACGAAGGTAGAAAAGGTAGGAAAAAGGTGAGGTGAGTACAATGAAAGGAGTGAAATATGACATACAGAGGGGTTATGGTAGTTTTAAGTCAGAAGTCAACTGCCGGTTAAAAGAATTTTTGCAGTATGGGTATACGTTGCCCAGGGTGCACCATGTGGAGGTAAGTCTATTGTACACCCCAAATATGCTAATCGAAGTTCCTTGTTATAAGCCTTTACACAGATTTTACTTTTGGTGTACTCACATTTGCTGAATTGAAAGGATTTTTCACTTCAAATGACTTCCCTTTGTCACCAAGTAGCTCAATCGGTTTCTTAAACTTTCCGCATTAGGAAAGAAGTTATGTTTCTCAATTTCAAATTCTACTCATGTTCGTTTTCTGCTATTGCAAGTCCCAAACTTGCCAGTCAGTTACTAAATTCGATTTTTGTGACCAGGTAATCTATCTTAAATTTCATATATCGGGTAATTACCCAAATCTATTGCGTGCAGAACAAAAAAATCCTTGATGAAAATTCAATCTCACCTTTCCACGTTATATGCGATTCATTAGCAACCAAAATATATCGAATGATTCGGTTCTTAATTCACATCATAAAACGTATTTCAGTGATCTGAAGTCTGGTTTATAAGGCGAGGAGGACTCCACAACTCCATCCTTCATCCAAGACAAAGATTCTAGATCAATTTGGAAGGCATTTTTGGCTAAAAGCATCTACGCAGATTAGGCCTTCTTTTTCCCTCTTAAAATTCATTAATTGTGTTAAGAGGCCAAATCGAATTATTCCCCCTCCCCCCTCGGCAAAATAAATTTTATTGATTATTGATTTGTGAAAATATACAAAACCACAAGAAGACAATCATTGATGCAATTATCAACCAACCAGCAAGCCAATGGTTTAATGTAAACGTATATTTATTATTTATTACCAAATGGCAGGCGTTTTGATAGCTATCATTAGACTTTTAGCTGACTTAGAGCATCACAAAGTGGAGGAACAAGACAGAGCCAAAAAAGTGGAGAGGGAGGAATAGAAGAGTGGTTCAAAGATGTAAAGGAGACAGACACTAAGGTAGGGAAAAAGGTAAGATGAGTACTGTGGAAGGAGTCGAATATGACAACCAGGGGGGTCGTGGTATTTTGAAATCAGAAGTCAACTGCCAGGTAATAGACTTTTTTACCGTGTGAGTATACGTTGCCCAGGGTGCACCACGTGGAAGTAAGTCTATCGAATATTCCCCTTCCCCACACCTATACAAATATATATATAAATACATTGTCCAAATTAGAAAAAGAGGAACAAGCTGCCTCCCTCCCCCCCACCCCCCACCCTACTTCTTCCTCGTTCTGGAACCCCAGTAGTTGTGGCTTTAAAAATAGACAACAAAATGCCTTAAAGATTGAATTTATTGACTTCACAAAGAAGTACGTGGTAAGAAAGTATTGACTTAATCTCTATATACATCCCAAATATTTAATGCTCCGAGACCCATAGCAGACGCGGGAGCGGTTGTGACAAGACATTTATTCGGCAAGAACAGACATCCACGGACTGAGAGAGACTGATCCCGACTTTCCGGAGCCACTCCTGAAATCGATGCCCAGTCACCCATCAAAGTACCTCCCCCAACAATTGCCCCAGGACTTCTAAGGCTTCCAAGACACCGAGCTCGGCCTTGGCTAGTCACTGCAAAAATTCGAATATCACCATTCCAAAGACCAGCCACCAAAATCTGGCCATCATTTCTCCACGCTAACGAACTAATTCCGTCGAAAGATTTATCACCAATTCTTGGTTTGGCGCATCGTTCTAAAGAAAGTTTAGAAGGACCTTCCGAGGACAGCTTCAGTATCTCGAAATCAGGGAATGGTTCTTGACCATCGGCAAATGCGGACTTTCCAACTGCTATTAGCACATTTGAAGATAATTCCACGACGAAAACATCGAGACAAGTGACTGGTCTAGTGTCTGTAGGGGAGAGAGGGAAAACGCTGGAAAGTGGAAGACCTTTATCGAACAAGACAACACATCCGACTTCAAATCCACAAAGGAAATGCTGAGTTCCAGCTATTCCACGAAGAGCCATACACATACCAAATTTAGACATTCGACTGGAATCTACAGCACATACGATCAGATTATCTGATGACCTGATAACTTCCAAGTTGACAGCAGAAGCGTCTTTGTCGTCTACATTCACGTAGACGAGAAAATATTCAGAATTATCAGCTGGCCAAATGTGGAAAGGACACAGGGTATATGAACAACAATCCAGCTCTTCGATAGGCTTAATCTGAGACGAATGGTGACATCCCATCTCCCAAAAGCGAATCTTTCCATCACGACCTTGAGAAATGATACGTTCCTCTTGGGAGCTGGTAGCTGGCCATTTGGAAACGGCCAACCCGATTACCTACAAAGTTAACTACTTATAGAAAAACAGTAGAATACCTGAGAATCTGGGTGCGCGAGCCAAGAGGAAATCTGGCGCTTATGGGAGAAATCACTAACGCTAATAAAACCGTCAGCATGACCAGCAAAAAGAAGACCATTCTGATGTGAGTAAGCAGGAGATATCGCTGGTTTCAGCGAACCAGAGCCATGAGTTCTCAGTAGATGAATGGAATTCGATGGTAGCTAAAGAAAAATCAATTAGAATGTAATCGTTCTTTCAAACTAAGCTCTCAACCCAAAATTAAGCTTTCTTCTGCCAAAGATACACGGGTAGACAATACGATTATTTCCAATAAATTCAGAAGTAAAATAAAAAGAATATTTTGATCATTCCATATTTAATTTTTATTAACACCGGATAAAATAAATACTAGAAAAATAAGAACGTCAAGGCTGTTCAAAAAAGATATAAGGTAGAAGTTGAAAAAGACAAGCAAGACAGAAGGGAGAAATAGATCACCGAGTTTCTCGTTTGCCAAATGCGAAAGATTTACTTTGAGGCTGAACAACTCTCAAAACCAGTTCAGAAAGCACTTGAGGAAAAATTTTTCTATCCTCGAAATTCATTTCATAATACGAAGCTAGAAAAAAGTAGCGCAGCGGTTAAAATCGATTTCATCATTAGTGCAATTTCTTACTTTTCTCTCTTTGTGCCCACAAATTCGGTGAAATTGTCTCAAATTTTGAATTCTTTGGTCTGTCATTCTTATTACCAATAACTACCGTGGGTATTTCTCGTCTTTCTTTCATAGAATCAAACTGAAATAAAAGAAATCGCTGCGATAACGACGTTACTTACATCGGCTTTCAAATTCTGAAGTGCCGCAAAGGACTCGAAATTGGTGAGATCATAAACAAGAATTAACGCATCAGCCGAATTTACGAAATGACGAGCAATAGTCGAATTTTGTCCCCCGATTTCATAAATACGTACTTTTTCCTGATTGTTCCTATCGATGGATATGTACAAAGTGTAGGTATCCTCATAAGTTGGTAACTAGATATCAAAATTTTATAAAATTAAATATAAACTTGTGTACACATTTATGAAGATCTGGTAGATTCTTTGAAAGCGCATCAAGGGAATATATAAGACTGGTTTTACCGACACCGGACGCCCCGCATAATAAAATTTTGGTTACTCGGACCATTCGCGAATCCTTTCAAGGACATATATAATTAAAAATTGGTTCACGTGATCAACATAAAAAGATTAGCAATTTATTAAGGTGGAAACATATGCATACAGTCACCGGCAAAATAAGGACCCAGAAGGGCAGCAGATATATTGCACATAACTTGGCCTAGAACTAACGCCACCTCCTTACCAAATGAATGCGTTCCGAGGTAAGATGAATGCAAAAGTTACTTTATAGACATAAAATAATCTTTTAAATAGAGTTCAATGTTTATTTTATGGTCTTGGTCAAGTAAATTTATTATTAAGCACTGGAAAAAATTGCATAATGGAAATGTTCGTCAATAATATAATTACGCTTAGTATCAAATAAATAAATACTAACTTACCAATTAAAAATCGTTAAGAGCAACTCAATTCTTAAGCTTTGCTAATTTTTTAATCACTCATCAAGATTCATGCTCACTTGTGGTTTTCGAGTATAGGAAGGAATAAAAGTTTCAAACTCTAAAGAAAATACAGTGTGCGTGAAAGCCTTTACTCCATTCAGCGAAAGCAACCAAGTATTATTTTGCAAAATTAACCTCAAACACCGTGATTCCCAAAATAATGATACATGTTAAAAAAGGTTTTTGATTCCAATATTATCTATATTCAATAAAAATTTATTTATTTATTTCAAATGGCAGGCGTTTTGAAAGTTAGCATTAGCCCTTTAGTTGAATTCGGACTTCACAGAGTGGAGGAGGAATGTCATAGTGACAAAAAGTCGAGAGGGGGGACAGAAAAATGATTCCCAGATGTAAAAGAGACATACAGACAGACACAAATGCAGAGAAAAGGTAAGATGAGTAATATTGAAGTGGTCGAAATTGACATAAAGTGGGATCATGGCAGTTTAAAGTCGGAAGTCACCTGCCGAATAATTGACTTTTTGCCGTATGAGTATACATTGTCCATGGTGCTCCACGTGGAGGCAAGTCTTTCGCGCACCCCAAATTCAATAGAAATGATTCCCCTTGATCTCAAATTGCCAACAGAATATTCCTTTTAATATGATTGAACATCAGTTCAAAATGTGTTTAAGGCTAGGTGTTTTCTGTTTTTTTACCATAGAACCTCGTTATAAGACCTTCTCTTGTTTAGATCTAACCATAATGAAACCGATCAGATAATTGATAACCATTATATTTCTGATCTAGCACCTTTGCCTTCTCCAATATCCACGAAATATTCTACTTGGGTATTCGTTTCATCTATTATCATCGACAACCCAATAGTGACAAACGATCTCTTTAATAATGACACACTAAAGTCATATTAAACAGTACTTCCTCCTTGAGCCCATATTAACAGCACTTTATTTGAAAGTATGAGATTCAGTCTTGAAGTTCAGCTTTTTACCTTCACAACAAAGCTTCCTATACTGTCAGGTCATTGAGCATTCGAGAAAAAGAGACCCCAATTCATTATTATATCAAATGGCAGGCTTTATGATATTAATCACTAGCCCCTTAGTTGACTTCGACCTTCACAAGGGGGAGGAACATATATATAGGCTTTAGGATGGTTAACAGTAGTTCATTAGTTGACTTCTGGCTTTCCAGTATCTCTGGAATTCGGTTGGACGCCGAATCATGTGGGTTTTCTTCATTTCCTCCTCTAGGTCACTTAGGGGGCATGTTGGTTGAGCGTATACTCCTAATCTGTGAAGGTGCTTCACCAGGCAATCTTGTCCGGTACACAGAGTCATCAATCATAACCAAATCTCATTTGATGTCTTTTTATGATCTATATCTTGCTTATGGGGTGTGCGATAGACTTACCTCCACGTGATGCACCCTGGGCAACGTATATTCATACGGAAAAAGTCTTCAAACCGGCAGTTTTCTTCTGACTTCAAACTACCATCACCCCACTCTATGTCATATTCGACATCCTTCAAACTACCATCACCCCACTGTATGTCATATTCGACCTCTTCAAACTACCATCACCCCACTCTATGTCATATTCGACTATTTCCAAAGTACTCACCTCACCTTTTAACAACCTTTTCTAACTTCGTCTTTGAAACTCTTCTGTTTCTGTCTCTCTCTTTTACATCCTTGAAAAACTCTTCTATTCCACCCCCACTCTCGACTTTTTTTCACTTTGATGTTGCCCCTCCCCTTTGTGAAGCCTGAAGTCATCAAAACGCCTGCCATTTGATATAAATAAATATCTTGCTTATGACATATTTCGGGTGGAGATTTTTTTACCCACTAATAATCAAATTGGCAAAAAAAGATATTTTTAAACGAGTGATCCACTTCAATCTAAAAACTTTTTCCCCTGATATTTACACTTTACACTTTCACTATGATTTATCCCGATCTGAATTCCCTATTTAAATATCAAAGACCTATAAAACGATGAACCGGAAAAGTCAAGCGCTGGGTAGGCCAAAATTATATTTGTACTGGCCTGGCCCCACTTAGTCCTCTTAATTACGTTCACTTTCCTATAAAAAATGGCTTGTCACTAAATCATGATTGGCCAGTTTTCACAACGATTTTGTACTGACGTCATATGCCGTTTATAAGCTCAAAATGATTTATTTGAGCCAATAGTCACACGTCTGTTGGTATATTGCAATTAAACATGCATTTTCCTACATCACAACTCCCTGCATTTACGGATATTTACTGGTTTTTCATCGTCGACAACTCCACAAACTAATTGAACCACTTTGATTGTTACCATAGATACTAATACACCAGACTTCCATCCAATTAATTTCTTATCCTTAAAATATCATTAGTTCTGCATACATTTTTTTTAATTTACATTTTACAGTCAATTAAACTATATTATATAATGGGGCTATTGTAAAAGAGGTGCATTAAGTTATGTTACGAAGTTGATCGAGAGGACGTTTAACCCTTGCTGTGAACCATTCATAATACTCTGTCTTTAATAATTCTAAATCTTTTATTATTATTATTAATTTACCTTTCAGCATTCACCCGGGTTCATTAATATCATGGTTAGAAATTATATAGCATATTGTACCTTAGGCAAGAACTTGTAATTGAATGGATAAATGTAAGCTTATCCATTAGGGATCATGCAGATAATTAAAAATAATTTATTGACATTTTGATGTATTAACTGCTGACAAATTAATAATTCGGTTTCTTTCATGAAATACGTGACCACTGAATGTACCCTAGTGGACATCGTCCACTTGACCTCTGACATGGCAGATGCGCACGTAGACAATTATTGTGAAAATTATAGAATCTCCACCACGGTAAATGGAACCCTTCTCCTCAATGATATGGAACGAAGTACCATCACATTTAATACTAATATTTGAATTTTAACCATCTAATTAGTTAATTCCTTTTGACATCGTATTTGTTTCAGTAAATTTTACATTATTTTACAAAATTAACCAAATAAATAAAAATATATATAAATATAAAACAAAAAATCATGACTTCACATATGCATTCACATGCATAGGTTGTTAGGGGCTGGTTCCTACGCACATTTTCAACTATAATTGATTATTTGTGCGTTAATTAACTTAAAAATTTGATTAGACGGGGTAAGTTTTGTCCGGCAGATTTAGCTTGTATGCTATTGGCGGTTAAGGGGCTAGTAAAGGTCATCCAATCAGTGCCTTCCACTGTGAATAGCCAATTAGGAGGAAGGAGGAAGGAGTGTTTATGCTGCGAATCGGATACGACGTTAGATTTTAAGCCGGAATATAGCTTCCTCCTTATATTCAAGCTCTTGCTTAAGAATGAACAGGACGGAAGAGAGTTGAAATTTGTTCTAGTCTCTACAACTTTCCAAAACTTCGCAGAATGCACGACCATACAGATGAATTGGATACTTATAATGTTATTATTATCTGCTTTACCGTGAGCTTCGCTTTTCTCGTCATTCACCTGATTACCCTTATATTCTTCAAAAAGGTAAGCATATGAAAAAATAAAAAACTTGCAAATAATTCCATTTTTCTATTTTTGTTAAGTCAACAAATATTAATAAGAACATGTAAATAAATAATGAATCTAGGATATTTACAACAATAACTTTGAAAATGAAAGGTAGGTATTCACTAATTTCATCTAAAAATTATATAATTAGCACTAATTAGTAAAGTTGCATTAAAAAGAACCATCAACAGGGAATCTTCGGTGGAAACAGGTTTAACATACACGCTTGATTATCTACGAGCAACAGATTCGATAAGATGACTCCGTCTTTGGCCACTTGAAAAGAATATTTTCGCTGGGAAACATTTAAACGATGAGAGAACATTATAGAAATTCACTTTTCATTCTCACAAATAATTGATTCAATTATTCGCTTTTAATAAAATAAAAAAAGTACTTTAATATAAGGCATAAAACGTATTGACCTAAAATTTAGAAAAATGTTAAACTTGTAACTCTAAACTCCACATTTAGGGCACATTAATTAATTAGTAGTGGGAAAATCAAATCTGTTAGATGTACATTGACAACTATTTTTCTTTTTCTAACGTTTTTCAAGTCAAGTTATTATAAATATCTCTTTGGAAAATGGATACTTGGTTTCTTTTAAGACTAATGATAGCCTAAATTCAATATTAAGTTCTCGTGCTGGTGAAAATAATGCGATAGAAATTTACAATTCAACATATTTGCACATGCTGATAAAATCTTGCTTTAATTAGTTTGTCTCATTTGAATATTTCACTACGCTTAGATTACCACTGTCAACATCTTTATGTACGCCTGTAAAGATGCTGCTACATAATTGGTGCGGCCATATTGATTATGTCGTGCATGTCGGCAGGAGTAAAGACGCCATATTTACTCATTACAACCAAATCATCCACCCAAGTCCTCCAAACGCTGATTCATGAACACAGATAGAAAATATTTTTTCGAATATGTGTGTATGACAATGCGACTATTTCGTCCTACGAGCAAACCTTTTATAAAACTGGTGCTGCCTTATATTGGGTAAAAGATAATGAACGCTTTTTCCCCAAATCAGAACGTTTGAAAGAAATCAAACGCAAAATTGAGCGAAGATAAGCAGAATGAGGTGTTGCAACAAGAAAAAAACAGAAGCGCGTCAATCGGTTGACTGGACGAGGCAGTGTGAAAGAAAATCGATAATCGATTTGGGTACATAGGGGCAAGCGGGAGATCAAAACAATTGCTTCCGAGCGTTTGGCAATTTCGGTGGAAAATAAAGAAGAAATTGAGTTTCCCAATTAACTTTGGTGAAATTAAAATCGATTGCTCCATCATTCTCGATTGAGGTTTAAGATGTTGAAAGGAACAATTTGTTTCCATTGAGATTTATTTAATTATTTATTTCAAAGGGCAGGAGTTTTGATAGTTATCATTATCCCTTCAGCTGACTTTGGGCTTCACAGTGAGGAGGAACATCATAGTGAGAAAAATTCGAGAGAGGAGAAAGAAGAGTGATTCACGGATGTAAAGAGACAGATGGACACAAATGCCGAGAAAAAGAGAGATGAGTACTGTGGAAGTGGTGGAATATGACATAGAGTNGGCGTTTTGATAGCTATCATTATCCCTTTACCTGACTCCGGACTTCACAGAGGGGAGGAATATCATGGTGATAAAAATTCGAGAGGGTGGAAAGAAGAGTGATTCACGGATGTAAAGAGACAGATGGACACAAATGCCGAGAAAAAGAGAGATGAGTACTGTGGAAGTGGTGGAATATGACATAGAGTTGGGTCATAGTAGTTTGAAGTTAGAAGTCTACTGCCGGTTAATAGACTTTTGCCGTATGAGTATACATTGCCCAGGGTGCACCATGTGGAGGTAAGTCTATCGCGCACCCCATTTCCATTAAGATGGAGTAACTTTAGTTTCTGTTTGGAGTGAAGAATGTTGGATGTCAGCTATTACCTGTTCATTGACAAAGAATCTGAAGATTTCCTTTCCGTTTAACTTACCTGTTTTTAAATATTTTACTTTTTTATTTTGCTTTAAATCTCACTTAGCCATACTCCATTTCTTAAGCCTCAAATTGAAGAAAAAATTAATTGATTGCATTTGGTTGCCACGGTTTAGTAGCACGTCTCTTTCAAAGTAAATCAATAATTTTACACGTCAACAATCCTATTAGTCGTAATTGTGCCCCCAAACGGCTAAAATTGTCTTTCAATATTCGTTTTAAGTGAAGTGGTGGCATTTACCACCTGCTGTCTTGACACTTTTGAATGGTCAATCACGATGTTGACTGTCCTATTTTCCATAAACTCGATCGAAAGTTGCCGTATTTTTCCGTGTGTTCTTTGTGATTCTCATGGCAAATCTTTTTTCCCATTTTGGTTAAAAGATGCAAGTTCACTTGGTGCATAAATTTTAAAGGCAGTGATTTTTGTGATGCTTGCTTACTTTTAAAGACTTTCGTGTGAATTTGTAATTAATTAAAGAATGCAAGTATTGAAAGGTCAGACACTTTATGAATATAATTCACTTATCAACATTCTTAAGACCGGTTTTGATTTGGCCTTAACAATTTGTTGTTACCTTCACCAAAATATTTAGCTCTTGCTATGCACTTTAAACGATATCTAAACTTTTAATTAGACGGAATCTGGATTTGGAAATAGGCTCAAGGAAAACTAGTTCTACGGGGTTAATCAAAATCAGATGAAAGTGAAGTGTCTTTGATAGATAAGAAAAAATGGGTTTCAAATAGGTGTCTTTTACTCACAATTCCCACCCCCCCCCCATACCTTTCTAAAACTATCAATAGTGAGAATTTTGGGCTTTTGTCAAATTAGATAATTAATATTATATTTAGAAGATTATATAGTATATATAACCAAATTAAGCGGAATCAGATGATCATTTATGAGTTCTGTTAAGGTCATGTAAACTGACCAATAGCATGCAAGATTTTGCTGTTTTTCTGCCCTTGAAATAAAAATTATTCATATTCACAGAAATTACTTGATATCTTAGAAGATACATTTACCCTTGTCTAAACTAAGCATTATTAATAATCAATAGATAAGACAATGTTAACACATCCTCCAGCCCCACCCCCGGTAGAAAAAAAATTTTGTTCAATTCCATGCCGAAGTACGTTTTTTTTCTGAGCATCAACCAAGAATAGGACAATTGCCTTCTTTCTCTCAGATTTCCCATTTCATCGCAATCTATCGCCACACGATATTCTTATTTACCCTTCACATTTTACCAACCAATCGTGCGACAGAAGGTGCTTAAGACGTTTCTAAACCCTTGTAGCGGATTGCTACTTTATTAAAGCCTGACTGACTCAGAAATCTCTATGGCAGATCCTCCTACATCTAGCCAGACTCCCAGAACCAGCTAAGCTATAGCCCAACTATAAAGGAAACAGACGCGCAGCACGGAGCACGTTTATTCAGGACGTATATTGCGGATCAAGTGTGTATACGCAGGGAGCTACTCATGATCAGGATGGGGGATTAGGTTAAACAGAGGTTGATGATTGGTCACTGTTTGTACGGTCGCTGCACACAGAGTTGTACGGCCGCACCTCCCAATCCTGGCGAGCAGACATGCAGGCATACGATGACGCACATAGCGATAACGTGTCCCACACCCTGCTCGTCCATCATGTTCTAACTGACAGGATGTTGTCAGTTCCGTTTAAGATTGCGATAAAGGAAATTGTCGAATACTTAATGGCTCAGCTGTACTTTCGGAATGTTGACATATTTGGGCTGATTATCTTATCAACAAATAACTCTGTTTATTTGGGAGAAACTGGTTGATAATTATGTAATATGTAAATCAATAACAACGGTGAACAAGAAAAGTAAGATTTTGCCAACCGACATATTTTATTTCATCAACGGAACAGATGAAGAAAAGCAAGACTTCGAAATTTTCATAAGCACTTCTCTTTGGGCTCAACTATTCTTTCCAATAATATATATATAACCCTGCCATTGATTCAATCAACTTGTCTTCTTCACTGCGATCATTAAGATTGTCTGAAGTGTAGGTAGATCGAGGGTCGTATTACCAGTTTTGTGAAATATTGAGCAAGTCATCGGCATGGGAGTGGGAATACAACAGCATTAAAGACAATCTACATTGCTCTTTATTCATGCACTAATTTTAGTAGTAGTATTGATTAATAGTACATTTGGTGAATTTTGTTAATATCATTCCAGTTTGATATCAATTACACAACTTCTGGATAAATTGTATCTATTTGCCTTAGTAGACCAACCCGGAAGAATCAAACACTTATCACCTGTTCAACTGTCTACATTTCATTTCTACTGCACTAATTGCATCTGACCTATAGCTAATCCGAAATAGAACAGGTGACCTAATTGAAAAGTTGAAGAGCATTCGAGGGAGGGGCACTACGAGTTCACTTGTATGTTATTAGCTCATGAACTAAGTTATTCAACATAAACCTTCTGCGCTCGCACTTAAATATCCATCGCTTTTACTATTGGCCAAGCGGTGAGCCAATAATTTATCTCAACTTCAAGTCTATGTTTGTGCACTAATTTGTTCAATAGAGAACTGTTCAGTAGAGAGAGAGCCTATGAATCATCTTCCCTCGTCTTCCAATAGTCTGAGTAGTTGTGGTCTAAAGGAGACATTTGAACGTTGCCAAATTTCCTCACTATGGAGTCCCTATGCCATGATCCTTTAGCCAAAAAGGATACCACATAGATACCGCATTTATAAATGAAAATGTTTCAACGTAGACCTCTAGAGACAGCTGAAATGAACTTTGTTTAGCTGAAAAATGCCCCAACTTTTTGCCAAACGCATATTTTGCCATATTTTGACATATATTGACATGTCAATGTCAATATCTCAATTCGAACATGTTCTTAAGCCATTCGGATAAACAAAACGTTTAAAATGAATTTGGAATTCACATGAAATAAAACACTTTCAATTTCTCATTGGAGGTTTCCTGGTCTCAGTGCTAGGAAGTTGCCCGAGTTAATCAATTGGGGAACAGTTTTGCTCTGTTATTGCTAATTTTAATAAACTTGAATGATAAAAATTATTATTATTTCAAATGGCAGGAGTTTTGAGAGTTAGTATTAGCCCTCTAGCTGACTTCGGGCTTCACAGAGTGAGGAACATCAAAATGAGAAAAATTCGAGAGAGGGAACAGAAGAGTGATTCACAGATGTAGAAGATACAGTCAGACACAAAGGTAGAGAAAAGGTGAGGTGAGTACTGTGGAAGTTGTGGAATATGACATACAGTGGGGTCATGGTAGTTGTTAAGTCAGAAGTCAACTGCCGGTTTGTAGACTTTTTTGCCGTATGAGTATGCGTTTCCCATGGTGCACCACGTGGAGATAAGTCTATCGCGCACCCCATTTCCATTAAGATGGAGTAACTTGAATGACAACAGTTGTAAAGTGAAGAAAAAAAAGTGCATAAACGAAATACATTTCCCCATTTAACATCTGTTCGGCCTTATGCATGAGGTTGCAGTAAAACAACTGTTTTGCGCATTTGCATAAATGAACATAAAACAGGCCAAGCATTCGTCCTGTCTTTCTACCTTTAGGCTCGTCGACTCTATGGAATCGCCTACTTTCTGGGTCAGATCTTCCTCAGCATGGCAGCACTCCTAACCCTGGTGAGTTGTGGTCTAGACCACAAGAGTCAGGCTTTTGAAATCATTCCACTGGCAGCCAACTTCGGTTACTTGGTGAATATTTCCGCTCAAACCCTCACTGCTATTCTCACCCTCCTATTCACCTTACAAACTGAGGTCACTCTCACCTCGTCTCCTGGCACAGGCGAAGAAATCGTAACCATTCCACGAAGGAGAATTGACGGGAATCGGTCGTGCATTCGTCGAATTTTGGTGAATGCTGTCGCCCTCACTTGCATATTTGGACTTCCCCTTTGTATGGTCCTACAGCAGTCATTTGTCCCTATTGTCAACAAAACCTCCATTCTTGAAGTGAATATCAGTGGAAATACTGTTCAACGAGATCTCTGCTCCTTCAAACCTAATGCTGAAACCCTCTACTTCCTTCTAACGCCCGCTCTTCTCCTACTCATTATCCAAATTGTTGTGATATCCATAGCGTTGAGGAAATGTTCGTCTTCGGTGGAGGGTATAAATAAGCATTTAAAGAGGCATCAGAGATTAATGGTGTTGTTTAAAATGTGCCTTGGGCAACTCCTGGTTTGGAGCACGGCAGTTCTAGCCTTAATAATGTCGTCCAACACCCTCTGGACCATATTCGCCCTGAGCATGGCTCTGGAGTCCATCTTCTCAGCAACCGTCTGCATCCTCTCTCGACCCGTCATCGGGGCTATTTTGTCTTTGAAGTACCGTGGAGAAGGAGATGAAACAGGTGGAATTAACTTCGCCAACGGAATCCATCGATCCATTAGTGACGATGACAGGGAAATATTGCATGCCTGTCAATACAAACTCGGGGACGATAACGAACGATATTACTACTGACATTCTTAACTTCAGCGACGGTTTTTTTGTAAAATAAAAGAAAATTAACCATTTCAACAGTATTAAGCTGTTGACATAAAAAACATGGGAAAGCTAAGATCCCATTCGAGAGTGTGACTTGACGGCCATCTCCAAGGTTTATTTTATTTACATCAAATGGCAGACGTTTTGACGGCTATCATTAGTCCTTTAGTTGACTTCAGGCTTCACAGAGGGGAAGGAACATCAAAGTGAAAGAAAGTCGAGAGGAAGGGGGGGGGACAGAAAAGTGTTTCAAGGACGAAGGTAGAAAAACGGTGAGGTGAATACTGCGGAAGTAGTCGAGCATGACATACAGTGGGGTCGTGGCAGTTTGAAGTCAGAAGTCAACTGCCGGTTTATAGACTTTTTGCCGTATGAGTATACGTTGACCAGGGTTCACCACGAGGAGGTATGTCTATTGTACACCCCACCATCTCCAAGGTAAAAAAGGTTAGAAAACCTGGAGACTGAAGGAAACATCCGTTGAGTAGAAAGGCGAATAGACCCATGTACCGCGGGGAAGAAGGGGGGGGGGTGGCGCGGGGTTAGGTCAATCTTACTTTGTTTTAGAAAAGATAATTTCAATCAATCAACGAGGTGCACGCGTGTTTCCTATTTGTGCTGACTTATTTTAAGGGCATTCTCCTCAATATTTCTTTGTAAAAAAAGGTAAAAGAAGTCGATTTGTATTAATAAGAACGAAAAAACCTAAAAGGTATTTTTTCCTTGATAGGCTCATTTTATTTAATGACTTGTGGGATTATCAAGCATTTTACTCGAAATTGATTTTTTTTATTTCAAGGTGGAAATAATGCAACAAGTAAAACTTTTATCGGAAACTATTTCCATTGTATGTCCTTGGCCAAGATTCTAATCAACAGAGTGGTTGAAAATAAGCACACTAATTTCAAAATCAGATATTATCGACGGATAGCCAATCATTTGATTTATTTATTTATTTCAAATAGCAGGCGTTTTGATAGTTATCATTAGCCCCTTAGCTGACTTCGGGCTTCACATATGAGAGGAACATCAAAGTTAGAAAAAGTGAAGAGGGGGAACAGAAGAGAGTGATTCACAGACGTTAAAGAGTCAGACAGACAGACAGACACAAAGGTAGAGAAAAGTTGAGACGAGAACTGGGGAAGTGGTCGAATGTGACATAGAGTCAGGTCATGACAGTTTGAAGTCAGAAGCCAACCACTGGTTTATAGACTTTTATGACTCACCACGCCCCGGCAAGTCTATAGCACACCCCG